GGGCTGTGGCCTGCGGGCGGGCCAAGCCTGGGGACCGCTGGCCAGGACCCTGAGGAGATGGTGCTCGGGGCTGGTGCCAGCCCCCAGCCGCGGGCTGGGGCGGAGGGTGCCAGGACGCGCGGTGCTGAGCGGTGCTGCACGCCGGGCTGCCCCGCTGCGCTCGGAAGAAGCTACAGTACCAAATGCTTTGGCGCAGCTCTTGCCGATGGAAAGATGCTCTGCTGGAAGGAAGGCCAGCAGCAAGCACGGCTTCGGGCCTTACCTGTCCCTTAGGAGAAATAACTGTTTTGGAGAGAAACCTCAACTTCCAACAGCGCTAACCCTGCCAGCAAAGCGGCACTGAAGTTTTGACTGCAGATGCTGAACATCTGCCCTGGGCATGACTTCCTTCGCCAGCAAACTGGATTTGGGAGCCACCTGGCCTGCCGCTCCGGAGGAGAGAACGGTCCATGGCCTTTGCGCTCCAAGATACTTGGGCACTAGGAGGGACCTTACCTGCGAGTTAAGCCCTGTGGGGACATACGGACATGCTAGAGCAGGCATGCTGCCTCCTAGCAAGTTGGTCCCCTTCCCACCCTAGTGCAGTAATTACCGTAGCCTTTGGCATAGCCTGATACAGAGTCCGATGCTCCAGTATCTTCAGATATTTAGCAAACAGGAGAATAAGGTGGGAGTGCCTGTTCTCGGGGCTGTTGTTTGCTCCAGCTCTGCATGGCACTGACCCAAGCATAGCTTTCGTGTGCCCTGGAAGGTGAAGGAGAGAGTACCACTCCACAGTGGATGTGGCTGGCTCAAACGGGACTGGTGGGTGGATGGCAGCAGGGTGGTGGACACGGCTTCACCTGGTCCGTGCTCTCCTCGCTCCTGGGCTGCTGGAGTCTCCCTGTCCCTCAGCATGGCAGCAGCCCGGGGACCGGAGCTGTCCCTGGGCCCCTCTGCGGGGACAGCTGTGTTGCCAGCCCTCTGCAGCTGCCCTTGCTCATCCTGGCACCTGTGGTCCTCAGCAAGGGCCTCCGACCAGGGAACTCACTTGAAACTGCTCAAAAAATAGCTTCAAAGCCAACTTGCTTGCTTATCAAAGGTAAGAAAGCAGTTCAGGAAAGGGATAAAGGTCTGGATGCTTGGCTAAAAGCACAGCCTGTCTGGATAAAACCTTTTTTCTCCTTTTTCAGCGTGGAGTCAGTCCTACATGGCCCTGGCCTGAGGGTGACAGACAAGGTGGGCAGCATCCAACAGACCCCTTGTAGGAAGGTCTTCCTGGAGACTGCAGTTTTCAGCCTTGTTCCTGCAGGGATTTGTACCCCTCTCTGTGGGGGGTGGAAATCAGCTTGCTGGTCCCAAGGGAGGCAGACAAGGGTGTCTTCAGTTACCGGCTTCCCCGTTTGTTACGGGAGGACCCCAGTATTATCTTTGCCTTATTTTGCAATTGTTTCATGCACTCCCAAAAGAGCCTGTTTCTGTTTCACTGCTTCTACTCGGATAATATCCAGCAGATAAATGGAGATTTGGCTAACGAGAACGTGCTGAAAAACTCCCCCAGCCTCTCCGGACCTCTTGGTTATAAAACCGCGGGAGCCTGCAGGAACCGTTGTCCTTCCCCTTGCTTTGTGCTTGTGTTCTGCCCTGGGCTCAGCTTGCGGGAAGCCTCTCAGCGAAGCGCGTTGAGCTTTTGTTCCCAGCCTGTTCTAGGTGCTCAGAGGTCTTGATGACCGTTTCTTGATGAAAAAATAATAATTTCATTGACTCCCTAAAAATAATAATTAAAAAAACTGTCAAGTCATTTCAGTGTCTTTTAAGGTTTGGAGTTTTAGCCAAGGTGCTCTAAGAGACCACTAAGGAGATGAGCGACAGGAGAGCGGGGAAGGAGGAAACTGAGCCAAAGGCTGTGGGATCAGCTTCCTCGCATGGCTCCGGTGCGGGGAGTTGGGCTGCGCCGGCCCCAAGGTGAGACAGGGAGTCCCAGCGTCGTCCTCGGGAGGCTGGCTGCGGGCCAGGGCCGTGGACTGGCCGCGCTTTCATCTGCTGCCTTGTAGCCGTGGCCAGACACCTTGCCCAAAATGCCAAGGTTGGGGCACCCTGACGGGCCGCTCTGGGGGCCGAGAAGGCTGCCCCCAGCACCTGCGTGTTGCCCTACTGCGAAGGGGCTGAGGGGCGCGTTGTCTCTCTTGGCTGCAGGTACTGGGACGAATTCCACGCGTGCGCCCTGACGGCGCTCTGGGAGTGCCAGAAGGAAGCTGCGGCCGTCTGGGAGATGCTGAAAAGAGAGTCTCGAAAGATCAAATTTCCAGGCAGCTTATTTGAGCTCTGCAGCCCCGGCGCAGCCCAGAGCTTTGCCTGCACGCGCGTTCCACACGTTTCCATCCTCGGGATCCCTCTCATGGTCACTTGGCTGAACTTATAAGCAGCAGCTCTGTAAGTATCACAACCAAGAGGTGGTGGCGGTGGCATGTGTCACCACCTTTGTGATCACGCGTTCGTGTTTCCAAACCTTTGAGGAAGATGGTGTGCAGAGCCCAGGGAACACCTGGCTCTGCCCCATGCCTATGAAACTCGAAAGACCTCGGCAGGATCTCCTGGGCTTTGCTGTTTCTCTGGAATTTGGGATAATGCTTGCCCCCTTCCGCCTCAAGGTGCAGGCACAGCGCTGGCGTGTTTGGGGGCTGTAGACGTGGGGCAGAGATTTGAGGAAAAAATTGGAAATCAGTCCTGAGCACTGGACTCTTTTGCGCTCTTCTTTGTGTATCGGAAGGAAGCTGCTTTATTTAGCTGCCTGTTTCCACCAGATCAAGTCTTCAGGTCTTTGATTTGGGCACTGAAAACAAGATGGGAGCTTTTACCAGTGATATTTGTGAGGTGCAAGGGAAGGTGTATACCCTATCAGAGGCAGAAAGGAGTCCTTGCTGGTTGGGTACTGGCCTTTGCTCTTTGATGTGGTGAAAACCCCCACTGAAGAACAATCACGGGTGCATGACTTCTCTTGCATAAATCTGCATTCCTGAGTAACTCTTGTGTTATGTGTAAATCCCTTTCCTAAGGAAACAGAGGACAAAAATATTAGGGGAGAGAGGGAGTGTCAAGTTAGCACAAAAAAGGCTTTACAGTAACTCTTTTGCTTTAAAGTTTTTCCCCCCGAAGTACCTGTAAGCACCTCTGTGAGTGACTGTGTAATTCCAGAGTATTAAAACTTGTTGTAGAGCCTGCATCTGTCCAGGTAGAAATCACTTGTCCTGCCTCTTCTTTGACAGCACCAGCTCTTCATGCCTTCCTTTGCAGCTCAGAGCACTGTTGGTTTTACAGCTTCAACACAAGCATAAAAATATTTGCAGTAGAGATGCTTGCCAGTGATTTCTGGGTACACTGGAAAAAATCAACAGCAGCATTGAGCAGGACCAGGCAGTTAGTTTAAGGGTGCTAATGAACCTCTATGCCCTGCCTTACTGAGCGGGGCAGGACCATAGGAGCCAAGAAGAACCAGCATAGGCCTGTAACCTGCTCCTGCGAGGGTCTCGGGCAACTATTCTAAGAGAACTACAGTGTCCCCCACTTGGGGTTTCTCCTGCTGCCAGGGTGTTATCCATTACATATTGCAACTCTCACATGGGGAAGGAGCTGTTTGTTTGTTCATAATGTTATAAATCAGGGCTAAAAAGTTGGATGTGGCAGTGAATGCCATGTTCTACTTATGGGACAAGGCTGTGACTTCAGTGTCATTAGATTGAAATTTCTGTTTTACTAACGTTGTAGTTCTGAAAATGAAAAACCAGAGAAGAAACAGGAAGAAGAGACATTCCGAATATGACTTTCCTAAGTCTGTCACGCATCACTGGCCGATATTGCATGTTGTATGGCCGTTTGTTTTTGGCACTTGCTTTGCTTTTGGCAGAGGGAAGTGGCAGCGAACAACAACATACAGCAGAATCATGCAGAGCTCTGTAAGCTCGTGATGTCGTCTCATGGTCCCGAGAAATGGTGAACTAGGACCGTGTACTGGTGGTTTGAGCACTGCCTACGTGGGGACTGGGCACAGCACTAGATACAACTAGCAGTAAGTCAGCCTTGAGGGTCTGAAACAGTATCACCAAACCAGAGATCCCACTGGATGCTTCACAGGCAGGTGGGCCAGCTTCTCCTACAGCAAAAGATTTTTCAGTCTTTCTGCCAACAGTGCTGTTGGTGTCGTTTTAATGATAATCATGTTTCTCTCCTTCAGCATGCTCATGCCTTGCCTCTCATCTTCCCTATTGCTTACCGCTCAACTCCTGCAGCAGCAGGAGGAAATGAATAATTTGAGGCATGTTCCAAGAAATATGAAAAAGTCAGGGAGGAGCAGCTGGTGTTCAGGCAGCGCTTCACTCCGATGCAAGGCACCCAGGCTTTCTACAGATGACAATGTGTTGTGTATGTGCTCAGCATTTCTGACACAAAGCCTGATGATAAGTGGTGGAGAGGGGGTTACCCAGAGCACGGCAGAACCTGGACTGAACCACTCAACTGTCTTGTTTTTCCTTCCTATCCTGCTCCAACAGCAGAGTGATTTGATACTGATGTACAGCAATGTCATTTGATCCTGCTCCTCCACCCTCGTTATCTCAGTCTGTGCCTGTGGTCTGTAGATGAGGAAAGCTGAAGTAAGTGGGTATCACACAATCAAGGCTAGATTCTTTTGTATCCAAATCTTGCAACTGTTCTTTGTTTAGTGTAGCTGCTCAATGCCTTTAGGAAAAACAAGCAAGCACAACTCCCCTCCCCCCTCCCCAAACTTGCCTTTCTTAGCTTGGCTTTGGATTTGTCATCTTCCTCTCTGTTAAAATTGTATACTTTTAAATAGCTTTGGGGAAGGGGATTGTAAGATCCCAGCAATCAGAGATTCCTGAGAAGCCTTCCTGCAAAACTCTGGATGAAAAAGGTTAGCTGACACTACCACTGCCTCTGTCAAGAGCAGGTGTTGGGGAAAATCTTCCTAGAAGCAAATCTCTTGACTCTATTGCATGCGGAAAAAAAGAAGATTCATTAAGAAACAAAGACCATCTGCCACTGTTCCGGTATGGAGCAGCAGAAGCTTCTAAAGCCAAGGGTGCTGCTGAAATCTGACTGAATGCATGCAAGTGAAAACTAGGTCTCAGTATGAAAATAGTGAGTTTCGGAGGTTTCTGACTCGGTATTTGTTTTTTTGTTTTTTGTTTTTAGCAGAACTTTTCTTATGACTCTAACAATTATAGTCGATTTCCTTTTTAAAAAAAAAAAAAAAGAAAAAAAAAAAGCAGTATACAGATTCACCCCTCAAAGGCAAAGTCAGCAGACTTTAAGAACGCATTCCTAATCCTACAGTACATTTCATGCTGATGCAGTGCAGCTTGTTAAGATATCCCACAGCCTCAGTGTTAAATCCAGATTTGTCACGGATGCTTCTTGTGGCCTTGCTCTACCTGAATTGCTACAGATAGAAAGCCGAACTTCACATACATCCCCCTGGCAAGGGAGGCTGCTGAAGCAGTTAAAACGTATCCTGTGCATCCAGAAGGTAAGGGGAAAAAATGTTCCTTTGTTCATGTATTTTTACTCCCATTCTTATAGGGGAACAAAGATAGCACCTCTTTAGTATGGTCTCACAGCAACTCTGGGATCAGCTGTCCGTTCTTTCTCCTTTAACAAATGGGACTAGTGTGGCTTGCTTTCTTCTCCCTTATATTCACTGTAATCGGTCTTCTATTTCACCCTTAATCTTTAAAATCACCCCTGAAGGACAGGGGAGATAACACTGAAAGAAACTTTGGAGTATTATTCTTCTTTGAATTAAACCTGCAAATTTTCCCTGAGAAGAAATATCCGAGTTGCAGCATAATAATAGCAACAAAAACCAGAGGAGGACAAAATGGTCCTGAAACAGTTTTAAAATATGACCAATTTCAAGCCCGTGTGTGTCAGCTCCCCGGCAGAGCATGCCCTCTGCTGTGCACACTGATCCCAATCATTAACATCCCTTTTTGAAGAAGGAGATACTGGCACCTACTGGAAGACCAAACACCACTTTATATCTGGGCTGAACACATGTGAAGGAAATAGGAATAGCCATAGACATGAGACATAGAAGCAGACTTTGAATGAGGCAGAACAGGAGGGATGAACTCTCTTGCTGGATGCACAGCAGCATTAGAGGGCAAGCACTAGGAAATGACCTCTGCATGGCTGTCCAGCAAGCTTTGGCTCCTGCCCAGAAAAACTTGCATGAGCTCTTCCCTCTGAAAAAGACTGCTGCTGTACCCACAAAGGAACTAGAACTAGGCTTAAAGGGGTTTTGTCAATAAGAGGTCACAATGAAATCTCGCAGGAGAACGTAAAGAGTTTTGCCTAAAAAAAACATAACCAGCACTCCCGTCTCCTCAGCAGTACACCTGCCAGCTGTTCCAAACATCAGGATTTTGCCCTGTCGGAATTTGCAGTACCTGAATATGAAAGCAGGATTTCAAACACAGTTCCCCCAGCAACAAAAGTCAAAAGAGCAACTTCAAAGAGTCTATCGAATTCTGCATCGCAAATCATCCCACCAATTCTCAACAAACTAAACTAGCAAGTAATTTATGCAAATTAACATTAATAGATATTAACATACAAAGGAAAGCTACGGCAGCAAGATGCTCCACAGGACAAAAATCAGTGCTTAAAGCTCCCTTTGTCCTTGTTTAGACCGAACATCCCTCAGAGGAAACCACACAGAAAGCAAGTCTGCTTGTTTGGGCTGCCGGCCCTGGAAAAACTATATCTGGGTCTTGCCCTTTTATCAGTAAAGTACCTCAGGTCTGTACCTGACGACAGGCAAGGCTTACTTGAAGTGCCTCTGAACAAGGCACTATGTTTTCGAGAAACAAGCAGCAGTCTCTCAGATAATTAAACATCACCTCTTCCAGATCAGATCTGTTACCACATTTTGAAGTCTGACAGGAAGCCCCAGGCCAGTGGGAACAGCAAAGTGGTTCTATAAAAACCTCTGAAGGCTTCCCCAAGGCACCTCCTGGTTAGGGCGGAACAGTGAGAGAACCTGGATTGCTGATGCTCCTCCCAAAGTGAGAATTATGCTGTCAGATTTCCCCAGATAGCACTCTGTCTTGATTTCAGAGTAGAGTTATGAAATATTTACTGTAGGAAGCTTTATGTACCCTAGATAGCAGGCATCCTACAGCCATGTGTTCTCCTCTGGCTGTATCTTTCTCCATTGCCACAACATAGACATTCATGGTATTTCTTGAAGAGCTCAGCTTCTCAAGAGAATTGTAACACTCGCACAGCAACATAATATTTTATTATTACAAAAGGTTTTTTTCAGCAAACTGCTGCCTGACATATCTAGGTATTAAACATGAAAACAGCAACTCAACCCATTTACAGTTATAGGTTATTTACGGTCTCAGCTGGTGATTCAGATAAGTACAAGTATTTTCTTTCTCCCCCATCTATTCACTTTGATTTTTCCCCCCCGCTCTCAACCAAAGCGCAACTGAAGAACAAACAGGTTAGCAACTGGAAGCAGCAGCTCCCAG